ACAATCACTCAGACATATAGTGCACTGATCATCTGCATTTCCTTTTTGTCCTTTATGGCTGAGCTGTGTGGTCAGTTCCATTATACTGGAACTTACTGACAAATTCCAAGGAAACCCAAGTTGTCCAGTTTCCTTTTATTCATTCTCATGTTTCATATTAACAGACATCTTTGTCTACCACTGCAACCAAACAACCAACCCTCTTTTCCACCCAACTTTTTGGTCTTCAGAGTTTACTACTTTAGAGTCTTAAGCATAAAAAACTGTTTTAAAGACAAGAACAGTGAGCATCAGGAAATCTAGCATGTGTACCATAAAATTATCCTTTGAAAGCCATCAGGATTATGAATCTAATAGAATACATACTTGTATAATTTTTCATTATAAAAGCAATGCAAACTGGGGCGCCTGGGTGGCTCAGTCAAACATCTGCCTTCGGCTCAGGTCATGATCCCAGGGTCCTGGGATGGAGCCCCCCATCGTGCTCCCTGCTCAGTGGGGAGTCTGCTTGTCCCTCTGCCTCTCTCCCTGCTTGTGCCTTCTCTCTCTCTCTCTCTCAAATAAATAAAAATCTTTAAAAAATTTTTTAAATAAAAAAATAAAAGCAATGCAAACTGAAGAAAATTGGGAAATATTTAAAAATTTAAAAAATCAGCTATTATCTTACTAAGCAAACACAATAAATATTAACATTGAATATTTTCTTTTAAAATTTTCAACAGTGATGACTTGTGTTTATAATGCTTTTAATCTGTTTTTTACTTAACATTATTATTTAGAATCTTTCCTTGAACATTGGAACATAAATATTTTAGGTATATCCAAAAATGTAATTTATTCATAAATTATATATTCAGATATAATTTCAAATAGTAAGTATGAATAGTAAATATTTCATCTTGTAATTGCACCATAATTTACTGATGCATTACCCTATTATTTCCTATTTTTCACTATTATACATAATGCTGTTCTAAATTCTTGTTATAAAAAATCTTATTGTGTTTTATAATTTGTTTTTAGACCAGATTCCCAAGATAGGTTAGGAATACAGACTCTGAAGCCAGACTGCCCGAGTTAAATCCTGTCTTAAACCCTTTCCAACTGCGTCACTTCAGGAAAGTCAACTAACCTTCCTGTGCTTCATATGTTTCCTCATCTGTAACACAGAGAGGGTAGTAATAAAACCTATCTCATATGGTTGTTACGAGGACCAAATGATTAGTTTATATACAGCACTTGAAATAGTGTCTGAGGCATACTGTAAATACTATATAAATATCAGTATTAAAATTTCTGAGCCTTAAAATTGCCTAAAACTTAAAAAGGTTTAAGGAATGTACATGCCTAGGGGTAAGGTATGTCCATTTTAATTTCATTAGATTCTCACCGGCATTTGAATATTTTTAGTGTGTGTTTTTGTGTGTGTATGTATTTGTGTTTATGAACTGATACGTGAAAAATTGTATTTCATTACTGTGTTACAGGGATTCCTTGTTTTCTGAGGAAAATCGCTGCTGGAAAGTAATGGCCGTCTTTGTGATTTAATTTAGGTATGCAGAGCTTGTCTCTTAAGAAATAAATAAATCCATTGATTTGCATTATCTTTCTGATTTAGCTAATGATACCTATCTATTTGATTTATTTAATAACTTTCATTTAAAAAATAGCACTCATATATTTTTTTATTCCTCATTATGTGTTATAGACTCAATGCTTATGCCTCCCCCTTAATTCTTATGTTTAAACCTAATGCAAAATGTGATGGTTTTTGGGAATGGAGTCGTTGAGAGGTGACTAGGTCATAAGGGCCGAGCCCTCTTAAACTGGATTGGATTAGTGTCCTTTTAAGAGACCCTAGAGGGCTCCCTCACCCCTTCCACTATGTGAAGACTCTCTGTGAATCAGGGTACAGGCCCTCACTAGACACCGAATCTGCAGGCACCCTTATGTTGGACTGCCCAGCCTCCAGAAGTATAAGAAATGTTTGTTGGTTAAGCCCCCCAGGCTAGGATATTTTTGTTATAGCAGCGTGAATGGCATCTGATTTTGTTGTTCACTCGTCTTTTGTTACCACAAGTCTCCTATTCTGGAATTAGAAACTTTTGCTTCCTTTACTTGGTAAACTTACTCAAATATATTTTTTCAAAAAGGTACGTTAGTGATCTTGCTGATCTAAAAATATCTTTTTGTTGCTTTCACACATGAATGATAATTTAGATATAAACATTTTGGGACATTACTTTTCTTAAAAGATTTATGGATTTTGTTTCATCGTCTTCTGCCAGTTATGGTTTCACAGTACACATCCGAATACAATATAATTTCTATTTCTTTGAAGTCAAAACCTCTCATGTGTCTCTTCACACTGGTTAAATGAATGCAGTTGCTTCTTGCCATAAAACTGTAAAATGTTACCAGAAAATATTGTGAAGCTATTATCTTTCCAATTCACTTTCTTTGTTGTGAAATTCAGTTTTCCTGATTTCTATTCCTAAATTTTTCTATTATATACTTGTTTTCTATTGTTTCCTTCTTTAGAAACTAATAATTAGTTGAAGGTGTATTAACCATAACCTATCCTCTATAGACATTATCTTCTCTCATTTTTTGTCTTTTTATTAATTTACTAAAAATCTGAGTGTCAATAAAATTTATTTTGTGTCTCATTGTTTCAATTTTCTGGAATAACCAGTATGGTTTTACTGCTATTAGCATGGTTTTCTATTTCCAAGTTCTTAGTTTTAAAGACTGCTTTTTTTAGTTCATTTTGTGTCCAGTTTATAGTGGTTTTGCCTTCTTTATAATATGGTATTCTATTTTAATGCAAACAATATTCTTTTGATCATTCTTGAGATCATTAAATAGATGTTCTTAATAAACTTACTGCATGGGGAAGGATTTTCTTCTGATATATGAGAGGATACTTCTTCTGTTTCCCATTCTTTTTCTTTACTCATCCTTAAATGAAGATCTATTTCAAGAAAAGACACACCTCACAACTTTTCTGAGCTATCTCAGTTTGTTTAGCTGTTGAAGAGTACTCTGATGCTTATACTGCCTATGGAACTCCTAGGATATAGCAGGTTTCCATAAGTGGTAAGTTCTCCTTCCTCTTTATAACTGCCTCCCCTACTGTCTAGACAAAATAAAGATATAGGGATTGGGTCTGGGCTGAGACAGATGATGTTCTAGTGCGTATCTCAAGCTACTGCAGTATGAGTACTCTGACTCAACTATCATAGTAACAAAGAGAACATTCAAATTCAGTCACAATTTGATTCTAAACAAGTTATATCAAAACTCAGGTTTTTATTTTCTGGTGCACATAAAAAGGAAAAAGGGAAAATAGAAACAAATACTGGAAAGAAGGTCATGAGATTACAAATGATTGAATTTAGCAGATATTAATATTCTCATTTTACATATTAAGAAAAGAGTCTTCTACAAATATCAAATCATTCTGTCATATACCTAAAACTAATATAATGTTTTGTGTCAATTACAGCAATAATTTTTTTTAATTGTTAAAATTTACCTTAAAAAATCTCAAAGATAGTTAAAGCACTTGACTAAGGTCATGGAGATACAAAGTGTTAGAATTATCTGAACTAATTCAGATAGTTCTTTAGACTTAATGTGATTTCCTTTACACTACAGGAAATCTAGAAAGAGACTTTTTTGAATATTTTGTTTTAAAGAAAGTATTCCAGCATCATATACCAAGTGGTTGGTATAACTCAATACTATTATTTTCAAAAAGAGTCTTATTGTGAGAAAAGTAACACACAAGTATATAACCTTCTACTGAAAGCTAGCACATTAAAAGGCCAGGAAGGGAGGAGTGGAAATAGACAAATACCACATAATTTCACCATATGTGGAATTTAAGAAACTGAACAAACAAGCAAAGGGGGAAAAACAGAGAGAGAGGAAAACCAAGAACCAAACTCATAATTGTAGAGAATACACTGAGGGTTACCAGAGGGGAGGTGGGTGGGGGGATGGGGGAAACAGGTGATGGGGATTAAGGAGGGCACTTGTGATGAGCACTGAGTGATGTGTATGGAAGTGTCGAATCATTATATCGTACACCTGAAACTAATATCACACTGTATGGTAACTAACTGGAATTTAAATAAAAATTTCAAAAATGTTAATAAAAAAATAAAAGAACAGGAGAACTCTAAAAAAAAAAGAAGAAAATACAAGTGCTTTCTGAGTTGAACTGATTGGTTAATACCATTCACAATCTCAATCATCATCAGACAGGATCTTAAATTCTAACTAGCTGGAATGTGAAATTGCCAAAGTAATATATTGCATTCACTTCTCAACTTCTTCAATGTTACTTATGTTGTCATTCATTTCTAACAGAGGTGAAGAAATTATCAGGACCAATGAGCATCAACCAAGTTACAGATTTACAAAGAAAAGCAGCAAACTGTTCATTAATAAGAAAGGATACTTTCTATAAAGTATACTTTCTAATACTTTCTATAAAATATAATGTACTCACATTCAATTTCTAGTAACAAAATAAAATATTTGCAAAGTCATTAATTGATTAAACAAATATTGCCAAATTAAAATTTGGAAGGTTCTTTGATAAGTATAGAATCTGATCAAAGGCAGATTGACTATTTAATTATTTCATCCAAATGACGATAAGTTGTTTACCCCATTATACAACCAAATACTTTTCTTTTTGTCACAAAAAAATTCTGATTTCAAATTCTCTTTTTTCTAAGTTTTGCATTATATTCCAACCTTACTACATATTACTATCTTAAAAATTTGTATCACATTGTATCATAGTTTCCTATTAGGATACAAAAGAATGGTTGTAACTAATTTAACTTGTTCTTTTATACTTTTTATATCCTTTTGTACTTTTCCTATGAGATAAGCAGAGCTCATTTTTATAGGCTATAGCTTTTTATTTAATTACTAAAGAAATATTTTCTAATGAAGATGAAAATAAATTCAAGCATACTTACCACATGAAGAATTTTATTCTCTGTTTCATACACAGTACAATCCTTTAAAAAAAAAGAAACATATACATCAGTTTTAAAAAAGTCAAACATGCCTTTTAAAATACTTTCTTAGTGAATAAAGCCAATGTGATCTTTAAATTAAAAAAAATAAAATACTTTCTTAGGAAATGTACAATTTGAAAAAGTCTTGACAATTCCAACAAAAACAGCAATAAGAATGGGAAAAAAATCTGGAATGCCATATACCAAAATATTCATTGTATTTAGCTATGATGGTCAGTTACAGAGATATTCTTATTTTTGCTTAACTATATTTTCTAATTTTATACACATATTAAAAAATAAACATACAAAATCAAATATTAGAAATTATTGTAACCATTTTCTATCTAAATTTTTATGTGTGATAAGTACTTTTTTGTTGAAGTATGTCTAACATTTCAAATACTAATTTATTATAGATTGGAACATAAGGAAAAACACTAATATTTATTTCAATAGTCTTAGTTTCAAAAATGCTTTTATATTTTCAACTGTTGTAGGCTATCAAATATCCTTTATATTATGCATTTAAAATTGATACACACTACTAACAAATATCAAGTTCATAGTTCTTACCTAAATGTGAATCCTTGAAATTATAAAAAATTGTTTCTAAAAATCACCATTGTCTTTTTACCTGTAGTTGCTAGATTTACAACGAATAAAAATATAGCAAAGTGATCTTTGCTTAGAAACTTTGTTTCTATAGCTCATTTTTCTTAAGAAATTTATAAAATGGGCATGACATTAGTAGTAACCCAATAAGGGTATTGTGAGGAATAAATGAGAAAATGGATAAATGGCTTAGCACAGTATCTGGCATACAGTAAGTGATAAATACATTTTAACCATGAGTTATTGTTGTTCTATGTCTTTATTTTAAAAATTTAATCTAATTACCTTTACTTCAAAATATAACGTTAACTAATTACTATTTGACCATCTAATTTTGAAAGAACAACCATGTTTCACAGTACTGCATATTTTAAGGAATGATAGCCCATTTCATTTTCTCCCCTGAATTTAATTTTAAGAAAAGGAATCTTGTTGAACATAGTTTTTGATAATGCCATTTCACCACAATACCTTGTCAGAAGTATTACATATTCTTATCGGGGCAAAAGTTTTAAAGTTAAATTTGTGTGATTTATTTTACAAACTAATAGAAATACTTAAGGATTGGGCCTTGCTATACTGAAGGGCTTCTGTGCCGAAGAAGAAGTTTGTTACAAATTTAGACATATCTATGTCTCTATAAATTAAGTATGAATTATGTGTGCAGGGGAGACAAAATATAGCTAAAGCATTTATACTGGGAAAGTACATTGTACTTATATCTGAATTTGGAAGAGTCCAATTTTACATTAATTTCAAACACAATTACATCGGTAAGAGATGATTTGGGAAAAGCTGGAAAGATGCCCAGTTTCCCCAAGCTGCCTGTACAACCTGCTGCAGCTTTAATGGATGCAAGTTTGATTATTTACCTACCTTCCCAGAATCAGAGAATATGATTAAATGTTCAAACTTCAAAGGGATTCTCCTCAAGGAAAAAAGCAAATATGATCTAAATGGATATCCTGCTAGTGATACAATAATCATACAGAGAATAACTATTTCAAGTTCTTCAAAATATAATACTTTACTTGCACATCCCTAGTGTGACACAACAAAAAGAACTATTAAACAAAATCTTATACTATTGTCAGTAATCATATTGTTTGTTGGTAGTAGTGTTGTTAGTCTGTTACTGTTTTGCTGAAACTACTGTGTTTCTTTCATAGGATGAAGCAGTCGAACGGTTATGTGATACTATCATTCTATCAGTTTTGGTGTCCTAAGTAATTTTAGCATGAGACAAAGTAGATACATATACAAGGTAAGTAGAACCTAGAGTCTCTTGATGTATTATGTGGTACACATATGTATGTATTTCTTAGTTCCAACCACTGAAAGACACAATCAACTGAGTAATGAATAAATTCCTCACAGTTAGTGATTTTCAAATACCATTTCCCAGGCCTTCTAGGAAAATGGTGGATTCCAAATCTGGGGTAGGAAATGTACAAGATGAGCTTGGACTATACTGTGACACAGAGAGAAAGAAGCTATTAAACTCTACAAGGATTGTGCCAGCAGGATTCAGAAGTCAACATGAGGTGATTCTTACTGGCCAAAGATGGAGCAATTGGGAATCTAAAAAAATAATAGTTGCAATGAATGGAAACAGTAAAGTACATATTAATTATTACATATATTAATATAGTTGATGCTAAATTTTATATGTACCAAATACATCCAAATATATTCAGTAACAGTTGTGTAATACTGAATATATTAAACATGGCCCCTGACTTAGAAAAGCACAGTTTAAGGAGACAGGCATTCACACAAGGAAGTTAAAATATGTAGATTCCCCAAGTCTTCACAAAGTTTAAGTTTCAATAACTTTACAAATATGAATGCCACAAAAATATAGAAATCAACATGTGAAAAGCCAATTATTTAAAATTTTAAAATACTGATATATTTCTCATTAATATGTAAAGTGACCATTGGGCTGTGCTATATACATTGCTCAAGTCAAATTTCAAACTTTGTAAACACATTCATCAGCTCCTGCTTCTCAGTGACTAAAAGGATTATATCTATAATCTGAGCTTTAAGATTATTCGAAGAATGAAGTACTGATGCATACTTGACAATTCTAACATGACCAACAAGACAAAGTCTAAAAGAGATACATCAGGTGACTGAGGTGGACAAGGTTTTCCACCAGTCTAAAAAACTATCACAAATATTAAAATTAAAAACTTATTGTTTGAAATAAACAAAACCAAATGACTACAAAAAATTGGAATAATTAAATTTTCAAAGGAGGTTTGCATTATGTTTGTAGCATATTCCCATATGTGAACTTATTAAAGCTTAAATCTGCACTAACACATTTGGGACACTCACAGTTACTATAAAAAAGGCAGGGTCATAGGGCTGGGGGAGCAGAGGAGGAAACAGCTAACTCTGCCTTAAAAAAATCGGGAATGGTGGCTTTTAATTGGGTCTTGGAAAAAGTAGGTTTTTAGGTAAAGAAAATAAAGGCGGCATTACTGCAAAAGCAATAAAACTACACTCCAACACTGTTGAGCTACTGTCATAATTTTCAGATTTCAGCTTTGTATACATGTAAGAATCACTTGGAAAGTGGGTTAAAATGCAGATTCCCAGGTTCAGCCCCAGATACACAGATCGGGTAGAACCGGAGTGGGGGCCCCAGCATGATTCTGATAAAGATGGTATTTTGAAAAACAATCTATTTTATAGGATAAGATGTGATAGAAGAATGCCAAAGCAAATCAAACCAAAAATGACCAAATATATAGAACCTGTAAGACAATAAACTGATTTGTAAATAGTATCTGCTGGGTCACTCGAAACAGTTCTCAACTCCTCGGACCTACCTGCTTTTGTTACACATTCCCCCCATTTATTGATTGGCTTTTCTTTTTGTCCTCCTAGTAAACTTATTTCTTTCTTCAACTGCTCACTACTTTGAATAACTGCTTCTACTTGTTTACATCTATACCTTCTTTCAGCCAGATCGGCCTGTTCATTATGAAAGCCAAAGGCTTTCACAAAGTGTGGGACAGAGCATAATAAAAACCAAACAGAACAAAACAATACAAAAAGGTATATATTAACCTGCTACTTTATATTAGGGAGAAGAACAGAAACTAAATGACTATGTTCTTTTTACTTAAGCTATCATGTTAAGGAGTTCATTTTATCATGCTAAATATTTAAATAGCCATAGGTACCTTAGGGGATTCATTTTTAATAAGTTATTTTATTTCCATCAAGACATGAATTTAAAATATTGGCTTCTCAAGTGTGGGTTTTATTAACACTCAGGGCCAAATATTTTCCCAAAAGATCATACCCCAAGTTTTAAAAAGAAAATAGCACTGAATATGGAGAAATCCACATTTTTAAGGACCTATTCATGCTAAGAAAAGGTACACCTCTGACGTTCTACTTATTTTTAGGTTAGGATTAAATTTAGATTTTTAAAAAAGATTGGATTTAGAGCTATGCCACTATATACTCCTAGGAATTCTCTTCAGTAGCTCATGCTGTCTTTTACTGTGCATGCAAAATGACACTTGCAATTTCTTCTTTATCCTTTTCCATATAATGCTTCTACAAACCATGTGATTTAAAAACCACATTTAAATGCATCAAATTCCTAACAAGACAATATTCATAAAGATAATGAGTGTTTTTTCAGTTTTGATCATTTTTTCCTTTTGAAAAGCCTAAGTATGCACAGAAACCGTCTCCCACAGATGAGCTATGTGCCCACACAGGATCATAATCAGTTATTGTTTTTGTGAAACAGTGATACAACTGCCGTACTGAGCAGAACACATAGAAACATTTCTATGTGTTACCATTGATGCTCCATACTTTGTCAACACATTTTAAGCATCCTGGGGTCATGATGTTCAGTAAAAGTAATTATTTCTCATCAACTGTGGATTATAGTCATAGGAACAGCTCACAGGTTATTAATATTGAATACATAAAGCAAGAGAGTGAAGAAAAATAGTGTATGTTTCTAATGCTGTATAAAATTGTATTTCATGGAACTTTGTAACTATGAATGCCTCTTTTGTTGTTGTTTTTTTTTTTGAGAGAGAGCATACACGCATGCACAGGGGAAGGGCAGAGGAAGAGGGAGAGAGAATCTCAAGCAGGCTCCACGCCCAGCTCAGAGCCCAAGGCAGGGCTCTATCTCATGACCCTGAGATCATGACCTGAGCCAAAATCAAGAGTTGGATGCTTAACCAACTGAGCCACCCAGGCGTCCCTAAAAATATTGTTTTTCTTATATGTAATATTTAAATCATCCATTTATGCAAACCTTTAATAACGGCACCTTTGTACCAAATACTTCACATATTCTATTGTCAAGGTACCAAAACGTTTTCAGTGCTGAAGTG